ATTAATTATTTATAGGGTGTCTGTTTCTGCTTTTCAGCAGAAATCAAGCCGTTGGCAACACAATTCATGCCGTTGGGAGCCGCAATTTTGGACCAATTCTCTCACTGCAGGGCTGTAGGTTTGAAAAAAAAAAAGGTAGCATAATCAATTTTCCTTCCTCCTTGCAGCGCGCCCAGACACGCCTTAATTAACCAAAAAAAATTACATCTTTATTAATAACAAATTAATTATTAAACAAAAATATTAAATAAAAACTAGGCAAACGTGCATTGCACGTTGCTTGCACCTAGTATATATATAAAGGCTTGCGCTACTACTATTAAGATTGTCGTTTTAATATTGAACCCTAAGACCTAATAATACGTACAATGGATTCATGCTTTTTTTTAATTCAAGATTCAGCGGAATATTACTATGCAGTTAATACGTTAAAGATTTAGAGGATGTTTGGTGGAGATTAAAATTAGATTTTTAGTAGATTATTATAGAAATTTTTGAAATGTGTGATTGAAAAGTTGTGGGACCCATAAAACATGTGGTTAATAATGATTGTTTGACTTTGACCTGGATTAAAATCAAATTTTAATCCAGACCAAACATGGGCTTATTCAAATGTGCATATTAATTTCCAAATCTAGTAAACATGTGCTGATCAAAGTAGTAACTAGCAAGTCTGCATTTCTGCAAATAAAAGAATCTATGAGATTTGGAGAAGGGCTTATTCAAATGTGCAGAATAATTTCCAAATCTGTAAACATGTGCTGATCAATGTAGGAACTGGCAAGTCTGCATTTCTGCAAATAAAAGAATCTATAAGATTTGGAAAAGTAGAACTCCATATATAAGCATTTCTCTTTATTGGTTACTAAAGTGTCAATGTCATTTAACTTTTTTTTCTGGCGGGATTTATTCTGATTCAGTTTGCAGCAAAAGAAAAAGCCTGATAATTAATGCAGATATTGGAATAGAAGTAGCAAAACCTAAATTCAAATTACTTTGTTAATTAAGTTATAGAGTCTAATTATTGTCGTTGGGCGGAGCTTGTACGGTGAGGTCATCGCGGGGTTGGAAGGGGGCAAGAAGCCGTCTCGAGCCAAAATTTCATCAAGGATGATTTAGAAATTTTACACTTATAAAATTCAATTTTGCACTAATTGTTCTTATAAATAAGAAGCTGTTGTTAGGGTTTTGTATTATCGTCAAAGAGAAATAGAGTTTTGAGAAGATAGTGTGCATAATTTTCTCTTGTAAACTTCTTTTCATGAATTATTGTAGCGGAGGAAGATGACATAGTCTCACGTTAGGTGGACCTATATAAATCTTGAATGTCCTTGAGTGTTTATTTTGTATTTTTGCGAATTAATTGCACCGGATAGAATAGAATTAATGCTAATAATTCTCAATATGCCTGGCTATTCAAATAGATCCCATCTTAATCTTGTTTATTTAGGGCATTTACACAGGCAGGCAATTGCAACATTCAAGACTGTTTACTGTGGAGACTGGATTAATTAAAAGCATACTGATATATGCAATCAAATTTAACTTGGCAGGAATGATCTCCTACCCATTGTAGGTACAAGTTATTTTGCCCAACGCTGACGTGGGCCTACAATTTTTTACTAACACTACTGTACACATACTTCTTTAGCATCTCCGATATCCTTGAAGCTTCATCTTCTGTTGCAGGCGACTCTTCAAGCTTAGTATCAAAGAAAGAAAGAAAAGAAGAAAAGGGATAAGCTGTCAAAGAGAACAAAAATATTATCTTGAGTAAAGAATTCATGAGCATTTTAAGAATACCTTTGAATGTATTGTGTGTAAAATGGTATCATCTTGGATAGAAAAACTGGCATTGAGGACCTCAGCACCTTCTTCATGAAACATACGAATAATTTCAGTGAACATAAATTGACAATCCAAACCAGTTATTAAAGTGACCTCCATGACTGAACCCGTTGCATGAATCTCAACGTGTGGTAATTTCAGTCCCCCCATTGTTGAACTAATGCAATTTCCCACGCCATTAAAGCGATCCTTCTTCTGCTTCATTTTCTCTAAATCAATCTGCAGTCTTTTAATGTAATTCGTTGCTTCTCCTAGCTGATCTGGCAGAGATACTACTTTCTGCAAAACCCACTTAAAATTGCTTAATTGCATATTTTGTAAACTAGACTCAAGTACTGGACATATGAGAGCAAGATTGAGCAAGATTTTAACTTATTTTTTCTTCCTTAATACTATAAAGAACGTTTAAATGAATCTTGGTGTGTGCAGAAATGGAACCTAATTTCGTGCATGTGATGTATCATGTATAAAAAAAGATACAGAAAATGGAGTAAGAACCATAGAATTTTGTTGAGGCAGCAGAGAACTGAGCTGAGAATATAGAGACTTCATTTGATTTCTTCTATTTTTCTCTACAGTCTTTCTATCTGCTTTGGAAGAACTAGGGTTTGGATCCATCAACAAAAATATATACTTCTCGAACAGCTAATTCCTGAAATAAGATCTTACTCCTTATAATGTGAACAAAAATACAGGGAAACAGGCGTAATATAACATAATTATTCCTGAAGATAAAAAGTAGTGATATGACCTGAGACGTGTGAGAGAAATGGGTGGTGAGGTCAGCTTTTCTTGTGGAACCTACAAGGACCATTTTCTGACCGTTAGATCTTGATCAAAGAACTGTCCAGATTTCGGCTAACCAACCAGATAAAAATTGACTTGACTCAACTATTTTCTCATCTTGTCTATACATATTCGCGAAAGTTAATTATTAAGTTGTTTAAAATTGATGTCTGTAAAATTAAAGGCCAAACTGCATTTCAAGCATGCGCTTAAATTAAACTTCGTTATAATCGATTTGATTTACAAATAGATAAAAATGAATGGTAGATTTGTGATTAAAAATGAAATTTGATTATTTATAAATCATCCCAACGGAAAGTGATTATAAATTATAATTTTTACGAAATGCGTAGATAATAAGTGAGCAATGATAGTGGGTTCTGACGAAATATTGTTAGATCGTTACATTTAAGCTTTGGTTATGTTTGCACTCGTTAGTTCAACGTAAGACGCTACAGAATAGACTACTTTATTTTCCTCGTGAGAAGCGAAGCAACAGGAGTCACAACCAACATCAAAAAATAATGAAGACATTGCACTGCTCGGAAGGAGTCAATTTCCACTTCCATTATATCAAAACAGAAACCATTTTCCTTGGCCCGCCACAAACTACAATTGCTTGGGTCGTTTCCATCGTGAAATAACTCATTGTCCTCTTTGATTGCATTGCGAGAACCACCTCGTTTTCATCCCGAATAACAGCCCAGAAATTGATAATGCCGTCCTTGCGTAGAAGTCACATGTATGTTGATCACAAGGCTAGATCGACTAGCTAGCTAGTTTGGCTGGTATATACGGATATCTTCTTTTCGGCTCATACATAAAGGCCATATCGGATAGCTAAGGGCGGCATCTCGAAGAACTGGAAAATAGTATATGTTAAATAGATATAGAAGTTAACTTAATTAGAAGCATGTGTGCTTAGAAGTAACCTTAGATTAATTCAACTTAAATAATCACGTTTGGATAGTTTTATTACATCAAAACCCTAATATTTTATCAATTATTAGTAATAGTTTTTTTATTAGCCAAACAACGTATAGATTAGGTTTGTGTCTTATTCTGCATTGACTATATTTTAAATGTTTGTTCTGTGCCCAAATTATTTGGAATTTAGCAACTAGTCAAGGTACGTAAACATTTGATCTACTTATCATTCATAAGATGTACCTTCCTAATTCGTCGTTGCAATAGACCATTTTTGTTTTTTCATTAGGACATGGTTTAACCGAATATAAAAGTAATATTACTAATTATTTTATTATATAACGATAATCTATCAACGATTTGTAATGCAAAAAGTATATGTTAAAATAATATTAAGTTCAAAAATAATTTCAAGAAAATAATCACAACCCTGTGAAATTAAAGTAAATTTATTAATAATTTTGATAAAAAGTATTTTTTTTTTTTAACTTATTTTTTAAGCTTAAATAAACATCCACCATCCCAACCCCTTGCAAACTCAAGTATTTTCCTTAATTTCGAAAGTTTTTAGAGCATGTTTGAGAAAATGGCTTTCTTTTATGTGGAAGGAAACTCGAAATTGAAAATTGGTGGGGCTATGAGTTGAGAATATTTCGTAATAGAACGAATCACACTTTTTCAACTAATCTATATCCACTAAAAGGCGATTATAATGAAGGACTATTTATTGATCGGGATAATTGGACATGGTCAATATAGCATTAGATCATCAAAAAATCACCAAAATTAGACTGTTGAGCTTTTTCGTAGATTAATCTACAATTTAATGAGATTCTAAAGGGTTCGTTTAATTTAAATAAAATAAATAAAGTTTTATCTTTTGTTAAAGAAGTTTTGATAGCTATAGATCACAAAAAGAAAAAAAAATCTAAAATCATAACTATTAAATCAATGTGGAATCCAAAAATAAACCTGTTATGAAACGGATAGTAAGATAATTGTAATAATGAAATAATGAAGAAGAAAATAAGAACATAAAAATTTACATAGAAACCCAATTCAGGAAAAAAAAAATCACAGGTAGAGGAGAACAATCCACTATAATCAATAGTTTTGTGTTTACAATATCAAGACTCCAATAATCTCAATTGAAATCTAAACTCTTGACGCCGAGCAGAATAGTGATTATTCTGCAAGCTAGACTGGCTAGTTCTACAAGCAAATTCACAGGGAAGACCACAAGATTAACGCCGAAAATCACAGAAAAAAGGTCTCTGAAGTTTAGAGAAATTTATTATATTACGCAATAATTAAAATAAGTCCACAAGTCGGACTTTATAGAAAATTGAATTTTACCAAAAATGACAAAATTTCAAAATCACGCTAAACGAAAATATGGAATAAAATAAGTAGTCTGCAAAAAATCTAGTCCAAATCAGGTTAAAAATCATTTCCTAACATGCAATCGAAATATTACCAAAAATAGCAAAATTTAACTAAAAATAACAATTCGGAAGGGAAAATAGCGGAATTTGAGGTTGAAAACAGCACACACCGAGCAGAGCTTGATGGCCACGACGTGTGCGCCGAAATAAGCTTTCCGGATTGTGGTCATAATCGCGATTCTAATAACCGTAGCCAAAGTTATGACCAAATTATCGAAACACGACTCAATTACCAAAGTTACGCGATCACTTGTCATCCTTGCGCCGATCTGCTAACTCGTGATACCTTAGAGCCATTAACGTGTTATCTGACAACTCAGCATCGGACTCGGACCCTCCTGCATCAACTCTCAATCTCTCAATATGTTGTTGAATTCGTAGAGAATATAATGAGAATATTACAATATGGAGTCCAAAATGGAGAAGAAAATCTCAAAATCCGGATAAAACAGAAAAATTGCGAACATTTACAGCGCCTGGGCGCTACACCTAGCGCTCAGACTCTATGTCCCTTTGGTGCCAAGTCACTGCCCCCTTTTTCTTATTGATTCAATTCTTGGTGCATAGGCACTTGGTAACATTGCAAAACATGCTTTTTTCCATCCAATAGTCAATTTTCAAGTCAAACTCCTAATTATTATTGAAATTTGATATCCACAACTTAAAACTCTACAAACCCAAATATCTTAGACTTCCTCCAATCAACCAAATCCCAAATCCCATGGAATTCAATCAATCAAATGTCAAATCACATGAAATTTGGATCGCACCACAACAAAAAACAAAAATTCAAATAGAAAAATAAAAAGAGTGTAAGCCCATGTTTGAACCACATTAAAATTTTCATTCTCATTCTTCTACTCATTTTCGACAACACATGTTTCAATAAAATAATATTTTCCATCACATCAACTTTTTCTTCTTTTCCAACCACACATTCTCCATCAATCTACTATTTCAAAATACATTCTTCCAAAATAATATGACTCAAACACACAGGTTTTCTTCTTTTTTGTTGTTGCTTGAATATTTTATATTCAAATAAATAATTATTTTCAAATCAAATAAATAATTATTTATATATATTTCGTTGAAAAAAAAAAAAAAAAGCCCCAGTTAGGTATTGATACCGTCAAAATAAGAAGGGCCCTTTGAACAAAAGTCACAGCAAAAATGTCATCTTCATTATTTATTTGTAGGCTCGTTCGTACCCTTCCTTTATATTATAATTTTTAATAATCACGACTCAATTTTACTTGGGCCTTTATGAACTTGATATGGTAAAGGATATTGGTTTCCTATTTAAGCAAAAGATCATAATTAAAATCAGTTCCTTTTGACTAAATTAAAAAACGGTGAACACAAAAAAAAACTTTATTCGTTTTCAACCATCCTACATGTACAACTATGGTTGATAATTTTTGTTGATAAAATCTATACAATCCATTTTAAAAATTACTTATTAAATTAATCAGATCTTAACAATACGTGAATTTTCAACAAAAGTTGTCAACGATCATCATAAACATAGCTTTAGGGTGTGTTTGAGCCACATTATTTTGAAAGAATGTATTCTGGAATAATATATTTATGGAGAATGTGTGGTTGAAAAAGAAGGAAATGTTATTAATGTGATGGAAATTATTATTTTATTGAAAATTGTGTTGTTAAAAATGAGTAGAATAATGTGAATAAAAAAAATAATAGGGACCAAACATGCCTTATTCTTTTTGTTATGCATTACCCACATGTTCTATCCCCTATTAATTATTGAGTTTGTGTAGTTGGGGGCCGGGCCCTTTGGTCACTAAAACATTTAGCGAATGATGTGTCCTTTTCTTGTGTGAAAGCAAAGGGCTTAAAGGATTGTCTGAATTAATTTCTTCGTTTCAGATTTGATTGCAAGTCTTGTATTTACTTTGCTTAAAGGATTGTCTGAATTAATTTCTTCGTTTCAGATTTGATTGCAAGTCTTGTATTTATATGATGGGTTTTTGCTTCATGTCTGAATTAATTTCTTCGTTTCAGACTTGATTACAATTTACAAGTCTTGTATTTATTTGATGGGTTTTTGCTTCATGTACAGGGCCCACCGACAACTCACACATATGAGGTGAGTAATTTTTTTTGACTTTTTTTATTGAGGTGAATCCCACCACCGACAACTCAAGCATAGGGGTGAACAATTTTTTTTTCATTTTTATTGAGGTGGGTCCAGCGTGGGACCCACTTCATGTGAGAGAGTGTAGGGGGTTTTGTGGTTTAGGTTTTTTCCCCATGCACAAAAAGAAGTCCATCAGAATTTGGTCAGAATACACACAAATGCGGGGAACCCACCATGTATTTTTTTAAAAAATGTGCGGGACCACAATGTGTGTATTCTGGTGAAATTTT